TCTTAGATTTCTTTTGTCAGTATTTTGGAGTTTTCTAGATATGGATCCTGCACATATTTTGTTAGATTTTTACCTAAGTACTTTATTTTTTTAATTATTTTAAATTCCAGTTGTTCACTGCAGTTACGTTTGAGAGTAATTGACTTTGGCCTATTGACATTGTATTATGCAACCTTACTAAATTCAATTACTAGTTCTAGGAGTTTTTTGCAGATTCTTTGGGGTTTTTTACATAGACAATCATATCATCCATGGATAAAGATAGTTTTATTTCTCCCCTTCCAATCTATAAGTCTTTTATTTCTTTTTCTTACTTTATTATACTAGGTAAGGACTTCAGTACAATGTCGAAAAGGAGTGGGGAGAGAAGACATCCTTGGTTTATTTCCAATCTTAGGGGAAAACATTTAGTCTCCATTGTATGAATGATGTTAGTTGTAGGTTTTTTGTATATATATTTTATTAGGTTAAAGAAGTTTCCTTCTACTTCTAGTTTTTTGAGAGTTTTTATCATGAATGAGTGTTAAATTTCATCTATTTTTTATTTGGTCTTTGTTCTTATACAATTATACACCACACAGAACAGTAAAAAATATTTCAAAACTTTACTAAAGGGTGGAATTGAAGTTCTCTATCACTATTAAAGTGATTTAAGAATATAGTAAAGACAATCATTGTATAATTTACATCAGTGGATTTGTTAATTTTTAAAAGATCATTTGCATAACGTTGAATTTTATGACAAAAAGGTATAGTACTGTATGTAAAGAATATAGTTTCCTAAAATTTTAAAGAGCCATCTGATTTAAATATTAGTTTCTCTATATGCTGGACAAGAAATGGATACAGAATAACCTGTACCAGAGCCATGGTGCACACTCCTGCTTAGCTTGCTGCGGTAATGGGTCAAAGGATAAGCCATCAGTCCATTTCACAGTGTCTACTCAACAGTGTCTTTCTTTTTGTTTCTTCAGTTGTTAGAACAATACAGCAAGTGTTATTGAGAGGTAAAATAAAGCAAGTCTTACATCAGACACTGATGGCTTTTAAAAAAGTTGGAATGGGGTGTTATTGGATATTCCAAAGAGTATATTGATAGTACATCTTTATCGAAACCACTGTTCCAGGGTGAAGTGTATTGCAAATCAAATCAACATTATGTGTCAGTAAATGCTCAGGTAAATATAAATAAATACATATCTAGTGAACCAGTTTTAGAGAGTAATGCTGTGGGCTGGGAGAGTGATTTGGGGGAAAAAAAGCTTAAAAAAAAATTGCAAGCCATAGGTTTATTTTCCTTAGCAGATTAATTAGGGTGGATTTTATTTTCTATGTAAGTAAACTTTGTATTCATCAGATGTAGCTTTAAGTATAATGCAAAAGGGAAACAAGTTAATTTAAGTATAGAATGCCTTCATAGGTGTGAAATATTATTTAGGACCTTTCCTGTAATGGCCACAGAGTGTTTATGAGCATTCATGCAAATCAGATCTTGAGCAGCTGCATGGAGCACACCGAAGTCATGATTCCTGCCTCTGTGAACTAACTTGAATAAAGTCTTTCATCTAAAGATCTTACTGTTTGTCTATTTCATGAATCCCTCATGTCCTCTCTGAAGGACTCATTCAGTTTAATACAGTTCAGCTTTGTGATTTAGAGCTCTAGAAATTGCTATTGTAATTTATAATGCAAAAAAAGTTAACAAGTTAAAGTAATTTCACAATTTTTTAAAAGAAGTAGATAAAATCCACTCTAAAATGATGTCTTTTGTAGAGACTTATAACTTGGGATTCTAGATCAAATTTAACAATTTGTAAACTGTGTAGTCTTAAGTAAATTATATATCCTCTTAGTGTCCAATTTCTCTGTGGTTATAACAGAGTCCAACATAGAGTTAAGAGAAATAAATGTATGAAAGTGCTTATTAAGTTTATTTGTTCTATATATATTTTGAGTGCTGTCATTCTCCCTTCTGTCTTAATCCTAATCATGAACTGAGGCTCATATCTTATCCCATGTTCAGTGTGAAGTGTTCTGTGAACACTTTAGCAGTGATTACACTGAAAAAGTCACTATCATATCATTTTATTGTGATTTGTTAACAAAAAGTTAGATGATAGTTTCCTCGTTTAGATACTTACATCTCATTTTACCACTTATTTGGCAGTAACCCATGTGTTGCTTGGCATTTTATTTTTTTATTTTTATTTTTTTTTCCTTTTTGTCGTTTTTCGTGTCCGGCAACGGACCGCAACCCTCAGTGTCGCGCCCGCACCAGACCGGACCGGCAAAGGGACTGCAACCCTCGGTGCTGCGCCCGCCCCTCGCTCAGCCAGTGAGCGGGAACCGGTCTGTATGTGGGATCCGAACCCTCGGCGGGAGCGCCGCCGCACTCCCAAGCAGCGCACTGTAGCAGTGCGCCACCGGGCCGGCCCTGTTGATGTTTTTATTCCTCTCTACAAATAATGGGTTCTTTGAATTCAGCTTGAATTCAGCAACCTTAACTTATTTGACCCTTCACAAAAATTAAAGTGTGGTGCCTTCTAGGCATGGAATATACTTCCTTTTTGTTTGTTTGTTTGTTTCATTGCTTTGGAATATCCATGTGTATTCTCTTCCAATAGTGAGGATGGTCGAATTTCACTGTGATTTTACTAAGGAAATTATTTATTATATTAAACCCACCTATTCATAATCTCAAAAATCTGCCACAGTTTTTTTTTCTTGGAGTATGTGAAATTAGGAACCACAGAAATTTTGATCCAAACATTTCTAACTCAGAATGGCAAAAACACAGAAGGAAATGAATGCTATACATTAGAAACAGAATAATGTAGATGATATTTATTTATATAATCAGTGGTTATTAGTGGCATCAGCTAGATTTCAGGCTCTCTGCTAAAGCCTGGGGTTATAGTGATTTTAAAAAAAGGAGCAAGACAAGATGAGCTCTCTACCTGATGGAGCTTATAGTCGGTAAACAAAAATAATTTAAACTAGATAGTAACAGTTTTTTAGGATTATGAATAAGTGGGGTTGTATGAGAGAGTAACTGGGTAGAGGGTGAGCTACTTTGTATAAAGTGATTAGAAAAAGCCTTTTAGAGGAATACACAAAGACCTGAAGGATGAGGACTTGTCTAGATTGTGGTCTTTAAATATGGTTTCTCTCTGAAAGGAAATCAGTATTTCTTGGAGAACTAGCTTATTGCAGACCTGGGACAGGATCTGTAAAAGAACAAAAAAGTGATAAAAGTCTGTTGGGGTCATGATATGGGAGCCAACTTGGAGGCTGTTGCAGATAACAGATGTGACATTTTGATTATCAAAATAATAGTGACTGCAGTTAATTGGAACACATCCATTATTTAAAATGTATGAGTTTAAAAGTATAATTTTACTTTAAAAATGTATTGTTCATCTTTGGACCGAAACTGGACAAGCAGGTATTTATCCTGTCTTTCCTCTAAGACCTTACTCTACCTCAGGAAAACCAGATAGTTTGGGAGGGATAGTTCTTCGTACAATTACAGCTAATAAATGCAAAAAGAATGATAAGTTATTATACTTTAATGAAACGAAGTTAGTGAAATTAAATACCTAGGCAATGAAACTTTTTACATTTTTCTATGTGTATTTATGAGTGTTTTGTGTTAGGAAATTTAAAAATCATTTTAAGAGGGAGTAAGAATTGAGCATTAAAAATGGGAGTGGTGGGAAGATATTTCATGCAATGGGAGCAGTATGTACAATGTGCAGAAGTGAAAAAGTACTGTACATATTCAGAGAAGCCTTAGTAATTGGGTTCCCGAAAGTACAAGATACGTTAAGTGAAAGTCTTGTGGATATATAGTTGTATATGAGTTCTCAGAATATGCAGTACCTGGAAAGAGTGAAACCAAACTATTTCCAAGTTAAGGAGAAACTTGAAATTCAAAGGCGCTTCTCTACAGTTCCTGCTACCCTTTGGATTCAGTGAAATAATGGTAAATGAGGCATTTAACAATGGATTTGATTACACCAAATTGATTTGGCAGCAGACTTTAGTAGAAGGGTACCATGTGTAGATTGAAGCTTTGATTTTACTTGAGCAATCTTTGCTTAAAGCAGGAAATCTGTTAATGAGTTCATTCTTCATTTCAGCATTGTTTTCTTTTTACAGTTGCCTGTATAAGAATGAATATTCCAAGGTTAATGATTTCTGTATCTATTACATAGCACCCTGTTATAGGTATAGGGCACCACATATGTTAATACCTAAAAGTAATATGTTATACAGTGTTATATAATTGGAATGAATAGTGTAACCTCATTTCCCAACAAAATGGTCTTCTCTGTTCAAATCACTGTACCATCCCCCCACATATTATAGATAAATATTGTTTTGTCCAGATTCATGTTGTATGGATAATAGCAAGTGGGTATATTTCTTTGTAAAACTTTTTATTTTTTAATTTGAAATCACTTGTGCCATGGTATTATTTAAAAAAAAAAAGACCCTTAAAATCTGTCTTGAGAATTACTACTATAGAATGGCACCAAGGTTTGCTCATTAATTTTACAAGCCAGTATGTATCTGTCTCCTCCAAACTGAATGTGTTTTTTCCTCTCCTAATATATGAGAGTTTGGCCGCTGGGATTTAGAAGTGGTAAACAGAGATGTCAAGCTATGTCATCAGAGCTCTGAGGAGACAGACAGCTGTGTTCCTTGTGACATACCAGAGGTAGTTTGTTTTTATGGCTAGTCAGATAGTTTGGCGAAGTGAAAGGCATTATCAGTTGTTCCAATTTTTCATCCTTATACTCACCCTTTTCCTAAAAAGGACTGGACAATAATGAAAGAAGGTCGTACGTAGTGTTTTACCATTTTATCATTGATTCTTTACTTCTGAATTAAATTTACATTTGGAAAAGTGGATTTTCTAATTAATGTATTTTAAGGAAAAGAGCTTCCTTTATGGCAAAATACTTATTTTAGAAAAAATATGTATTTTTTAACAGGGTATCCAGAAGTTGGCTAGTCAATATCTGAAGAAAGATTGGCCTGGAATAAAAGCTGATGATCGGAATGATTACAGGTAATTTACTAATTAGTTTTTTCCCATTTTCTTTAAAAATGGCTTCAGTCAGAGCCATGTCATGTATAGATAATGTAACACTTTTTAAAAGAATTGCTTCCTTTCTCTGCTGTGTTTTTTAGACATAATTTCAATATTACCAAAATTTTTTAATGTTTTATAACATATGTAGATAACTCTGTAAAGTAAATCACTTTCATTCGTCTTAAGCCAAGATTATATTTTATTTAATTAATTAATGCCCACATTTGCATTGTTTCATATGTAAAACAAGAAATAAATTAGATTTTCTTGTGGTTTTTCCAGTATCTACAAAGTTCAGCTAAGTGGAAAGAGAGATGAGATGAAATTTAAAGAAGATAGATTGTGGTGGAACACAAATTGTTTTCTCAGTAACCTATGATGAGACACATTATTGCAACAATAATGAAACAGGATTATAGTATTCTACTATGATCATTGATTCTTTACTTCTGAAATAAATTCTAAATTTGGAAGTTGGGATTTTTGTGAGACTAGGAGAAAAGGGTTTATAAGTAATATGTTTTAAAGAAAAGAACTTCCTTTATAATAATACTTATTTTAGAGGTGTGTGTGTAAACAGCGTATTCAAAATTTGGCTAGTTTGGGGCCGGCCCGGTGGCACACTGCTACAGTGCGCCACTTGGGAGCGCGGCGGCGCTCCCGCCGAGGGTTCGGATCCCACATACAGACCGGTTCCCGCTCACTGGCTGAGCGAGGTGCGGGCGCAGCACTGAGGGTTGCGATCCCGTTGCCGGTCCCGGTCCAGTACGGGCGCGACACTGAGGGTTGCGATCCATTGCCGGACACGAAAAAAGACAAAAAGGAAAAAAAAAAATTTGGCTAGTTAATCTCTCATATGAATTTTAAAGAAGATAGATGACAATGGATACAAATTGTGTCCTCAGTGAAATACTGATATCTTAAAAATATTTGTAACTTTGTTTAAATTTGATGTCTTTTTTGATGTTAATTTGTAGTTCTTTATTGTCTTTTGTGCTCAGGGCTGTCCTTAGTGTTAGCGGACCCAGAAGTTAAAGACTTAAGAGTTTGCAGTCTGTTTGGAATTAAGAGTAACGCCCATGAAACAACAGCAGAGAATTCAGGGTAGTTAATAAGTCAGTACTGAAGTATATGGTTTGGAGTCTAAATATGAAATCAAGCTGCTGAATTGTCAGTGAGGACTAGCATCATCAGAGAATTTCTTAAGTTTGTAGCAGTGGTGCTAGAAAACTGAAGTATATAGAAGAAACCCTAATAGTTCTTCACAGTGGCAGACCGATAACTTGGAAGGTGGCATAATATCTATAAATAATAGAATAGTATAACTGCAATATAAAATATTAAAGCAAAATGAGAAATAAATTAGAGATTTTTCTTATGGATTTACCAGTGTCTACAAAGTTCACCTAAGGGGGAAGAGAGACGAGATGTAATTCTAAGCAAAAGAGACAAGTAGAACAAACCTTGAGGTGAGAGTGAGCATAATATGTTTAATATTGCTGGTATGATGAAATAAGCCTGACCAAAAAAGAGGCTCCTTGTTGGGGAGTAAAGAAGGACTCCAACTTATAGTTAACTATATTCCAAGTTTGTTTGAAATTCAGGATTCAGATTACTAAAGAAAAGGAAAAGAAGGCTATATTCCCAGGCTTGCTTATAAAACCTAATTTAAAAGAGTATTTTAAGCCCACATTTACTAAATATTTACTATATGTCAGACACTGTGCTAGTAGCTTTATTTTGTCTTCCATTATGATCAAAACAACCCTGTGAGGTAGATATAATTATCCTTATTTTTATACATTAGAAAGTGAGGTCTTGGGTTATATGCCTTACATAAGGTCACACAGCTATTTAAATACTCATTCATTCATTCTTTCTTTATTCATGAGTTACATATGAAATATCTATTACATGCCAACTGTTAAAGTAGACTTAAGGTTGGAGAGACTAGAAGGTAATGGTATCTGTCCTTCAGGAGCTTACCGGAGATAGCCACTATAAATAGTGGCAGCACTGGATAGTAGTAGAGGTGCATTGGGACCATAGAGGAAAACCTAGGGTTGTAGGGCCAAGTCTTAAAAGAATGGGGCCGGCCCGGTGGCACACTGCTACAGTGCGCCGCTTTGGAGTGTGGCGGCGCTCCCGCCGAGGGTTCGGATCCCACATACAGACCGGCCGCTCACTGGCTGAGCGAGGTGCGGGAGCAACACCGAGGGTTGCGATCCCATTGCCGGTCCCGGTCCGGTACGGGCGCGACACTGAGGGTTGCAATCCATTGCCGGTCACGAAAAAAGACAAAAAGGAAAAAAAAAAAAAAAAAAAAAAGAATGTACAGGAGTTTGCTAGGCATATAGCTTGGTAAAAGGAATTCTAAGTAGAAGTAACACCTTACAGGCATGGAGCATGAGAAAATATGAATATTAGGTAACAATGAGCAGTTCAGTACAGCTGATGTGAAGTATATGAGTTGGAGGGTAAATAGATTTATAGGCATAGAGGGTGCATAGGTATAAAGAACTTTGCATATGATATTGTAGAGTTTATTTTTTCATTTGGAAGATAACGGAGGCATTAAAGAATTTCCACAAGAGAAATGACACGATCAACTTCACTTTAGCAATCGTATGAAGGTGGATTAGAGGGGCGTGAGGAGGAATTCAGAAAAGATAGAATTGTAGGAATTTAATTCTGCAGTATCTCTTATTTGAACCATAGAAATTATAGTAGTAATCAGGTTGTGGGGGATATTTCAGAGCTATTTAGGAGACTGAAGCTAGGGGACTTGTAATTGATTTGTCAGAGTTTTGCTTTTGTGTTTGTTAAATTTGTTCTGAGACAAACTATAAACAGCTTTCCTGGTATCTAAAATAGCTGTTGGAACATAGAAGGCACTTGATAAATATTTGCTGACTGAATGTAGGAAGGAGGAGAGGAAGGATTATACAGTGACTCCCAGGTTTTTTAATCGAAGCAACTGAGAGAAGGTGGTGGTGCCATTGTGGAAAAAGACTATAGAAAGATCAGGGTTAAGGGTGAGAATGGCAATTGCCAAGTTTTTGGTTTGTTTATTTTAGTTTTAGTCATTTTAAATTTCCTGTTTAATTTTTTGTATTTGTATTGGTAGTTTAAAAATTCTTATCCAAATAATACATGCTTTTTATTAAGCAGGTAAATAATACAAAAGAGTATAAACAATATAAAGTTCAGCCTCATTCTCTTTCCTAAGCCTCTTCTATTCTCATTTCTACTTCTCTAGAGTAGTTGCTATCAAAAACATGTGGTCTGTTCTGTTTTTCACATTTTTTTCTGTGTGATTCATACATGATCATATACAGTTTTGCTGTTTTTAACAGAACTAGAATTATTGTATACATATGCTTTTGTAACCCTCTTCTCCTCCCCACTCAAACACTTAAGTCTATTTTAGATATCCTTTCATGTCAGTATATTAAGGTCCCCCCCCGTTCTTTTTAATAACTGCCTTAATGCCATAATATAGATGAACTATAGTTTTATTATTCATTTCCTTATTTATAGTTATTTAGCTTATTTACTAAAACAAATAATGCTGGAGCAATAACTCCTGTATACACATCTTTGTACACTGTGAAAGTATATCTGTAAATTCTTAAAGAGGGGGAAATGGTGGATCAAAGGGTTTATACATTTAAAATGTTGATACTGGAAATTGTCCTCTTTAAATGCTGTATCAATATATTTTACATTTTTCTAATTTGATATAAAATTGCCCCTTTTTATTTTTTACCAACAGTTGATGTGGTAGGTCTTTTCAGTTGTTTGCCAATCTGATGATACATGCACCATTTAATGCCATTAAACCATGCCCATTTGCTTGGAAACTAGACTTCTATAACACTGCTTTCTCTTGGATTTTTTTAAAAAAAATCTTTGAGGACATGTTTTTAATCCTTTCTGTGTAAATGTTTCTCAAAGTTCCCTCAGTTCTCTAGTGACTCTTTTAAGTAATCTTATCTATATTCCTGTCTTTCCATATTATCTATAAAAACTGGCAGTGATCATATATTTTATTAATTTTTCAGCTCGGGAAACAAAAAGTCAGCTGCCTCCAGCTTCAACTTTTTTCTAGATCTCATCTTCTCATACCTGGGTTGTTAAGTTGCTGTTTCTCTGCCTGTGATCTCTCCCTTTCACAGTTCCACTTGCTATGATGTCACAAACTATCTTTATGGCATTGTAAAATAGGCCTATTTTCGCTCCCCTTCTTGAAAATCATCTATTGTTTCTATTTGCCAATAGGATGAAATATAAATTTCTTTTTATGAAATTCAAAGCCAAGAAGAAACCTGGCCCCAAATTCTCTCTCTCCCTATCTCTGCCCATTTCTTTTTCTTTCATCCTTGGTTCCCCAACCATTGGGCACCTCAGCTGCAGTTGTATTGCAGTTCTTATTGCACTTCAACTGGGCTGAAATCAGTGTCTTTCCCCGCCTTTACTTCTGTTACCTAGTCTTAGGATATTCTCCCTTGTTACTGTCAAGAACAGCAATACATGAACACTTATTTATTTTTTTTATTTTTTTTATTTTTCCTTTTTTTTTTGTCTTTTTTCGTGTCCGGCAACGGATTGCAACCCTCAGTGTCGCGCCCGTACCGGGCCGGGACCGGCAACGGGATCGCAACCCTCGGTGTTGCTCCCACACCTCGCTCAGCCAGTGAGCGGGAACCAGTCTGTATGTGGGATCCGAACCCTCGGCAGGAGCGCCACCGCGCTCCCAAGCGGTGCACTGTAGCAGTGCGCCACCGGGCCGGCCCCATGAACACTTATTTATTAAACACCATACCTCTCCTTGCTATCAGTTACTGTATAAATTAATCTTAGATTATGAACTTATCATTTTCTAGAGTCTACTTGAGATGTGGTACTAGTAGGAAGCTATATTTCTAGGCCTAGAAGTGGTCTATGGTGTTCGTTAAATTTCTTTAAAAACTTTT